CTTGAAAGTTCTTTGCTGGCGGTTTGTTTTAAGCATCGTTGCGTTTTTGTTTCGTGAAACTCGTAGAAAATGGACCAATTATCGAAAATTCTGGATAAAGAAACTTTTGAGAAGCTTGCTGGTAAGTTTTTTTTTTAATTAATATCAGTTTGTGCTGTTTAACATTGTTAAAAACTCATAAAAGGTCTCCATTGCCCCGTGACCGGATGCACTTCGTTCATACCAGGTTATGTCGAATAGTTGAAAACACACATCAAGCAAATTCATAAACTTAATACGAGCTTGAGGAATTCAGTGCCTGTACGATGTGCTAACTGCGGCACCATTTTTACGTGCTTCAAGCGAATTAAGGACCACATATTAGGGCATTACAAGCCCCACACAAAGCCAAGATCGGAGTGTGAAAATCCTTCTGATCCGCAGGAACCAATGGAAGTCGAGGACGAAATTGGTTTCATGAATGACGAAGGAATCACGAATCCTAATTATTTTACGGGTTCGGTCTCACGCGAAGAGTTACATGGGATCGCTTCGTCTTTTATTACAACGTTGCGTTGTGATGTTTCTTTAACAGAAACCAAAATCAAAATGTTCATGGAACATTCTAACAACATCTTGGATAACTATCAACTGTTCGTTTTGGGTCTTGTGAAAAACTTGCTAACTTCAAAAAATCTGGATACCACTGACAACGATATGATCAAGCTGATCAACGAAATGTCGATATCTGATGTGTACACCGACGTTAGGAATCCGAACAGTAATATGTCGTATCTTTCTGGAACAGCACTTTGTAGTGTACCGGAAACAGTAGAAGTTGTGCTAGGCACGCGAAAGGTATTACGAACTATTCGCTATCAACGAGAAAGCAGTAGAAAGACCAGGAAGGTGATTCGAGTTATTAAGAAAAACAACACGGTTAAGGATACCATGCACTACATTCCTATTAAGGATACTATTTCCTTGATAATGAAAAATTCTTGCGCAAGAGAAATGGTTGCGAGAGAGATTAGGAGCGACGAGCAAGGGCATTGTAAAGTGCTAAATAGTTTTAAGGACGGTGCTCTATTCAGAACTAACGAGTTTCTTCAAAAATACCCATTCGCTCTACGAATCTCACTTCATGTAGATGACGTAGAAACTTGCAATCCTCTCGGTTCACGAAAAACCAAACAAAAATTGACAATTTTTTCATTCAAGTTGCAAAATATCGCAAGATAAAATCCATTCAACAGTCGACAGTGTTTATGTTTGCCTAGTGGTGAAATGTAAAACGGTTAAAAAATACGGAATCAAACAAATCGTTGAACCTTTAATCAAAGATTTAATCACGCTACAGTCTGATCAGGGGATCACTATACAAATGAATGGTAAGAGTTTTACAGTTCGAGCTACTTTGGTTCACATTCTTGGTGACACCGCTGCCATTCATGAGCTTTTGGAATTAATGCCTCCGCAATCAAACATTTTCTGTAGAGCATGTTACATAACACGAAAAGACCTACACAACGGTAGATTCGGAAATGAACACACACTAAGAACTAGTGAAAGTTATGAACTAGATCTAGCAGCTGTTAACAATGGTTCCTTGTCTCCGGCTCAATGTGGAGTAATTCGAGAAAATGTTTTCAATTCTTTGAAATATTTTCACATTGCACAAAATATGTCATTCGATCCCATGCATGATGTGTTAGAGGGGATAATCCCTCTAGATATCAAGAAAATCCTTAATGATTTTGTCAACATTTCCAAATCTCTTACTGAAATTGAGTTAAACTCGAGAATCTCCAATTTCGATTACGGTACAGCGGAGAGTAAAGATAAGCCAAGTGCCAATTTTTCAGCCAAGAGCTTGAAAACTACTGGTCAATCTGTCAATCTGCCTCACAGATGTGGTTCTTTCTTCGAGCGACTCCTTTCCTTTTTACTGATTTGTTATCTAAAAATGTACATTTCATGAACATCATACGTGATATTCTGAAAATAACGTTCTATTCCTTCTCGAACACACTAACAACTGATATGATCGAAGATTTTAAAAACACCATCAACAATTTTCAAACAAACTTTAAAATTTGCTTTCCTTTAACCAAGCCTACAAACAAAGTACATCACGTCACACACTATCCTAAAATCATTGAGGATAATGGACCGATTGCGAAAATGAGCTGCCTTCAGTTTGAAGCCAATTTCAAGAACTGCAAATCACAGACAAAAACTTGTGGTAACTTCAAAAATATTACACTAAGCTTGACAAACAGAACTAATCTTAAGCAAATCAATGCAATCCTTCAACACAGATATGAAATCGACAAGATTACAATTGTGCCTTCAGTGGTCGTTAAAAAAGCTTATTTTGATTTTCATTTAATTTTGTTTGATCTTCCTGAATACATCAGATGCATAAAGCATGCAAAAATTAATGGAACTTCGTTGCGACCTGACTTAGTAGTCAAATACAAGTCATGTGGCTCTGAATCATATGGGGTCTTGAAGGCAATTATCGAAAATAACAATGACTATACATACATAATTTATGTTCTAGAGATAATAAGATTCTGTGAATTTTATAACAGAAGTAAAGATGACTGAAAAAGTAGTAAGAGTTCCAGTCAGTATTGTATGTACTAGAAAAACGTATAGTTTTTGGAAATGCCACAACATGGATAATTCGCTTTTCATAAGCTTGAAATATGAAGATTAGAGTAAGGAGATTGTTGATCTCAATAAATTATTTTTTTCAAACTAACGCAAAATATGTTTTCTTTGATATATAATATCACAGTACAGTTCTTACGATTCTTACACTAGAAAAGTAAGAACCTCATTGCAATTAATCAAAAAAAAAAATTAAACTTTCTCCTCTACTTTGAGTATCGTTATAGATTCGTTGCTAATTAAAAATATCTTCTTCCTAGCCCAAAAATTCACAGACCAATCTCTGATGTTTCTTGAAGAGAAAGATCTGATATCCATTGGAATCACTCAAATGGGACCTCGGTTCATAATCCTATCAATTGTTAATAGATTGAAGGAAGCATCGTTCAGAGACCCGGAACCGGGAGAACTCAGTCAAGATGGCTGGCTTGAGTGCTGGAGCTTCGACGTCTAGCCAGAGACAAGAAACCGAAAATCATCAGCAAAAATCAGCACCCATCACAAAGCAGGTAAAGAATATAATACCATTAAACACTTTAAAGAACAATAATTCAGTGCCAACATTTCAAAGGGGCGTAATTGCAATTGTAAACAATGGCTTTAGCCAGAGATTTCTCGCGAATAAAAGCTCACTCATGAAAAATAATGACACCAGAAGGTAGAAGAATGTTTCCTCTACCAGCTAGCATTGTAATTTTGGAGAGGTAAGATTTCATTCGCGAGAAATTGACGGCTAAAGTCATTGTTTACAAAAGCAATTACGCCCCTTTGAAATGTTGGCACTGAATTGTTAGTTATTTAGTCAAACTCTTCGTTGTAGATTCGTGAAGTGTTAGTAAATAACGCCAAGTTCCGGATTTGGATGTGGTTCCTATCCACACAGAACTGCTACTGATGGTACGCATTCTCTGCAACGATATGGTGTCCAGGATGTTGAATGAGAAAATGTAAGTACCTAAATAATATTTTTTTGTTTCTTAAAATGTAGGTTGTAGTAGGATTAATTCAACTTCCTTAATAGTTGCTGGTTTCTCGTCGTCGGATCTGTTTCGTTATTTTCGTTGTTTTGCATTCTTTGACGTTTCTAAAAGTTTCCAAGGAACGTACTGAAATTGAGAGTAATGCAAAAGGTTTAATTTTAGCCAATAATTCTAGGCGAGCAAAAAAAAAAAGGATTATTACATATTACTTTGTGGTCCATCTCAATATGTGCAGCAATTTACCATCCAAAATCCACTTAGATATGGATATTTTTTTCTTATTATTCCCGCATAAACGCGAACCATAACTTGACCTTACCGATAATAATTATAAATTGTTTATAATCCCTCCTAAACTTTAATTGAAATGATTATGGAACTTTACATGAACGTTTGTGTGATAAAGTTTTAACCTTATGTATTATTGTTTTTTGAAAGCGGACCTCACAAATAATGCGTTGTTAAGAACCATTACCATTCAAAATTCTTGTTTTCTCCATACATTTTCGAAAAGAGAACTATATTAGAACGTTTTTACTTATGGTTTGAGAACATTAATGGTTATGGTTATGATAGTCAGTAAGGTCCATTAATGGTTTTGTATTATCGCTCAACTTTACGTGGAGTATATCAAACCATAAGTTAAAAGGTTCTAATATAGTCCTCCTCCCGAAAATATATGGAGAAAACAAGAATTTTGAATGGTAATGGTTCTTAACAACTCATTATTTGTAAGGTCCGCTTCCAAAAAACCATAATACATAAGGTTAAAACTTTATCATTAAACGTTCTTGTAAAGTTCCATAACCATTTCAGTTGAAGTTTAGCAGGGATTATAAACAATTTTTAACCATTTTTGGTAAGGTCAATTTATGGTTCGCGTTTATGCGGGTTTACATCCGTCGTACTTTCAAAAAGATTCCATATTGGTGACAAATAATATTGAAATAATTACATATGAATTTATGATTTCAGATACCCATCAACCGACGACAAGAGAAAACTTGCATGTGACATACTATCTGCATTTCCTGTGCTACGGTTGACGAAAGTTACTGAGAACGCGCCTGACTGTGTGAGTGATGGCATTTAATTTTTTATTTACAATTTTAATCATAATTTCTCTTTTAGTCATTTTTCTTTTGGAAGAATTCCGGAAAAGGGCCTGGAAATGCACACTCAGGATTGATTTACTCACACCTACGGAATGCCTGCAAGAACCTTTCACCAACCAAACGGAAATTCATGCATCGGGCAAAGAAGATCGACATAGCTAGCATTTCGTCAGAAATCGTTGCTTTATCTGAACAGTGTGCTCAAGACGAGGCAACATCGGCCAATTTCATCAATTTTGCGAAAATGATGATTGAAATACAACCACTACACAACATGCTAATCAACAGCAAAAAAGGAGTACCTGCTATAAAGGGTGATACGGTCAAAATTTGGTCAAGGGAAAACGCGTGTAAATCGGTGAAATCGTTTATTTAAAAAATCTAATTAAATTTCTTTTTCAAGTTCAATTAGTATAAAATTCAGGAAAAATATTCAGTTAGGCTTCCGCTTTTCCAAATCCGAATTGCCGGGCCTTACGGTTGACCCCTGCCATCAGATTTTGTACAGCCACCTTGTCCACCTTCTTCGCCGCAGAAAGCCAGTTTGCCTTGAACTGCTGCTCGCCCTTAGCAGTTTTTTGGTCTTCTTTAGGTTCCGCTTGACAATAGCCAAGTATTTCTCAATTGGGCGGAGCTCTGGCGTGTTGGGAGGGTTCTTGTCCTTGGGAACCACCTGCACGTTGTTGGCGGCGTACCACTCCATGGTCTTTTTACCGTAATGGCAAGATGCCAAATCCGGCCAAAACAGTACGGAACAACCGTGTTTCTTCAGGAAAGGCAGCAGACGTTTATTCAAACACTCTTTCACGTAAATTTCTTGGTTGACAGTCCCGGAAGCTATGAAAATGCTGCTTTTCAAGCTACAGGTACAGATGGCTTGCCAAACCAGATATTTCTTTGCGAACTTTGACAGTTTCATGTGCTTGAAAACATCTGCTACCTTTCCCCTTCCTTTTGCCGTATAAAACTCCTGTCCCGGAAGCTGCTTGTAGTCGGCTTTGACGTAGGTTTCGTCGTCCATTACCACGCAGTCAAACTTCGTCAGCATCGTCGTGTACAGCCTCCGGGATCGCGCTTTGGCCGTTGTATTTTGTTTATCATTGCGATTTGGAGTCACTACCTTCTTGTAATTCGATAGTCCGGCTCGTTTTTTGGCTCGATGCACGGTTGTAGACGATACACCCAGCTTATTTGCGGCATCTCGGAGAGAGAGGTTAGGGTTTCGCTTGAAACTACCGGCAACTCTCTTTGTCGTCTCAACGGCTTCCGGTTTTCGATTTCCCCCCGATCCAGACTTCCTGGCTGTCGACAAACGTTCCCCAAACACTTTAATTACATTTGTAACGGTTGATTTGGCAACTTTTAGCGATTTTGCCAACTTTGCGTGCGAGTAGCTCGGATTTTCGCGATGCGCGAGCAAAATTTTGATACGCTGCTCTTCTTGCTTCGACGGCATTTTGACAACTGAAGAGTGAATTCCAAAATCAAAATAGGAGCAACATTCTATACACACACACCTTCAAAATGAGGGGTGTTCAGGTTTTTTAAATGCAAAATTGAAAGAAATACGTCAAGTTGATATTGACCAAATTTTGACCGTATCACCCTTTAGTTCAGGTGCTGCCTAATTTCAGATCATATAATGGTGCTATGGTACGTATATTTGTGTAAACTTGCGTAAAATACGTCAACATATTTATGTTTCTATCTTCTTATTTAGATTCGCCAAGCGTACGAACGTATGAATCCGCGTTACTATAGGGAAGCTAATGTGAAGAAGGTGTTTTCGTTAGGGCTGATCCTTGAAAATCAGACGTTCACTGTGGTTCAAGATGGTGAGCAAGAAACAAGCCTGGAATTTTTGAAATTAGTTATTATATCGAATAATTCTTTTTTATGCAGAACACGTTCGTGGATGTTTGCGAATAATGGGACGACTTTCCAGAAAAGGCGTTAAGAAACTACCTGTAGTCATGTCATTAGAAGTAGAGGAAGAGTTGGCTTCCCCATTGATTCGTTTCATTCCTGTAAGAAGTAATTTAAGTTTGTGTTATCTAAGCTTGGGATATTTTTATTCTATCTAGGACTCACCTTCGGCTTTGGCTGAACAGCTAGCCAGATATGCTGCCTACGACATTGAAAACTTCCAGAAGGTACCCCCCCACTTGATTAACCAAGGAGAATCGTTTATGATTTATGCAGAGGGACAGATTATTTTGCTTGGTACATGTTTGGTTCAAGCGATTGATACATTTGTTAAATTTTTTAATGTTTTCAATTATAAGGTGCCCCCGGAAAAAAATAACCATACAATAACCATAAAATAATATAAAATCACAACACAATCTATTGCCAACAATCGATCCTATTGTATGTATATCATACAAGTAAATTTAAAATATTGTTATTACAATAGATCTACAATACGTTTCATAGAGCATGAATTTTCAACAATAGAAAAACAATAAAATTAATGGTAAATGACTCAAGTTTATTCGGGAAAAAGTGATTTTCTGTACGGTTAAGATACATAACAACCCCCTTGTTCTATTGTAGATATCCACATTTACCATAGATTTTATTGTGGAAACTATAAATTCTATGGTTTCTTTATCGTTACTGACAATACAATGTATTTTAAGTACAATAAATTCTATTGTATGGTTACAATACATTTCATTGTACCTGTATCGTTCTTTTTTTTTACGGGCAAGTTCTTTGGTTAAGCTCGTGGAACTAATGTCGTTTTCGTTTTTACTACACTACACAGGTGTAGTGTAAGCAGCAATAAGTGCGAGTCATTGACAGTTCATCATCACTTCTTTGTAAACAAAGGTGCAACCGATAGCTACACCCTAATTTTTTTCGGTGTTCGGCAGTGTAGCACCGGTGTAGCTACACCGCAAAAACGAAAACGACATAATTGAAATAATTAGTTATAAAGTAAAACAAAACAGCTCTAGACAGTCCGTTAATGTGTTGTGTGCAAAAATGATTGAATCGATGAATGCCAACTGCGATTGACGAATAATTTTATTAAAAATCAATAAATGTATTGATTATAATATGACATATGAATCTTTATGTAAAGTATGCAATTTAAACTTGATTTATTCGAAGTTTTATTTCTAAAATTGTTCCGTGTAAATAATTCAAATAAACAGAGGAACCCCATCCACATATTTTTCAAAAAATGCGTAAATTTTACTCCATTCGGGAGTTTATTTGGGGAGTAAAAAGTACGCATATTTTGACGTATAACAACCCGACCAACCATTTCGTTAATTTTCTTTAATTTTCTATACATCGATCTTCAAAGCCATTCATAATAAAAATCGATAGCGATCGTCACCATTTCATGAATAATTGTAAAGATGCTAAAAGTCTAATCGTGAATCGTTTATAAAGATCTTTCTCAAAATATTGCTACCAATCGTTACCAATGTTAAAATATCGATTGTGTTGCCAGATCAAAATATCGATTTCTGTTGTAAAATCAAAATATCGATACACAACTGCTGATTTTATTTGTGGTTTTTTTAACTGCATAATTTCTAGTTTCGATCCAATGCCATATGGGGTGTACTGCTTTCGTTGTTGGTTGCTAATCCTTGGGTCCACGACTGCTGCTGATGAGCTTATCAACGACAGGCAAACACACTCTAGTATGTGATGTATTGAAATTTCTGTAAATCTTTTCATACATGAACTCAATATTTATTTGTCATAACCATCAACCAGTCAGCCATACAGGTGTAATAGAGGTCAAAAAGGTATCAATTTTCCTCATTGGGTTCCAAATGCCGAGAATCCCACCACGCATGCTATCCCGCATAAACGCGAACCATAAATTGACCTTACCTAAAATGGTTAAAAATTATTTATAATCCCTGCTAAACTTTAACTGAAATGGTTATGGAACTTTACATGAACGTTTAATGATAAAGTTTCAACCTTATGTATTATGGTTTTTTGGAACTGGACCTTACAAATAATGGGTTGTTAAGAACCATTACCATTCCAAATTCTTGTTTTCTCCATACATTTTCAGAAAGAGAACTATATAAGAACGTTTTTACTTATGATTTGAGAACATTAATGGTAATGGTTATGGTAGTCAGTAAGGTCCATAAATGGTTTTGTATTATCGCTCAACTTTACGTGGAATATATCGTGAATTGGTAATCAGTAAATTACAGGCAACCAATTCGCGATATATTCCACATAAAGTTGATCGATGTTACAAAACCATTCGTGGACCTTACTGACTACCATAACCATTACCATTAATGTTCTCAAACCATAAGTTAAAAGGTTCTAATATAGTTCTCTTTCCGAAAATGTATGGAGAAAACAAGAATTTGGAACGGTAATGGTTCTTAACAACCCATTATTTGTAAGGTCCAGTTCCAAAAAACCATAATACATAAGGTTGAAACTTTATCATTAAACGTTCATGTAAAGTTCCATAACCATTTCAGTTAAATTTAAGCAGGGATTATAAACAATTTTTAACCATTTTAGGTAAGGTCAATTTATGGTTCGCGTTTATGCGGGATCACGGGTTATTAAATATATATATAGACATAAACTTGAAGAACTACAATGATAAACATTTGCTGCATCGTGGCTATCGGTCTTCTCGTTCATTTACCGGTAGATTGCTTCTTCCGATGAAATGCCGAATATCCGGAGAACTTTGAGATTTGGGCGTAATTGCTTTTGTAAACAAACATGTCAATCGCTGATTTCTCGCGAATAAAAGAATAATCTCGTGAACAAACTATACCAAATGATAGAGGAACCATTCATCTACCTGTTTGTGTTGTTAGTTTTAGAGATTGAGATTAAATTCGCGAGAAATCGTCAAATGAAGTGTTTGTTTACAAAAGCAATTACGCCCTAATCTTGAAGTTCTCCGGATATGTCGATAAATAATATAAACATTGCCATCTGTCACCTGGTGTGTCTCGAACTCTCTTTAACCAGCGATGCAAATCGATAACAAGGAGATTATAAATGTGCATCGATGGCAATCTTTGCTGTTCTTTGTCAAAGTTCAAAGTTATGATGACATCAGTATTTAAATATTTATTGATGAATATTTGTAAAGAATACTAAAGTCTATGTGACATATCGAAATTAAAAGTGCCATACTAAAGGCACCTTTATAGATTACTATCATATGACCGATGAAGAAATAATCTTAAATGTAAGTATCGATCAATAAAGATTTTTAAATGTGTACATCGAAATCATAAAAAATTTAAAGTAAAGAATTGCCGACATAAACCTTTATTTCTATATTAAGAACTTTGAAGAAGTTTCACGAACGGTTGGTCGGGAAGTATACGCATTAATAAGTAAATACGATTTACTCATTTATTGGGTAGTCCTAGTTTCCCTCGAAAATGCGTACTTTATAGTATTTATTGAGTTTTTTGCGGTTACCGTGTGTAGTCATTATGACACAAGACATGAGAAAAAGTGAGGTTATGTTTGCTGTTATTCGTGTTGGTACTGATTCGATTATAGTTCTCCGTGGCCTAAACCAAAATAGCGTGATCAAAGTTGGACAAAAAATGTTTAGGGGCTAGAAATCTCGGATCAGGAAAAATATCTAAATAAAATGCCTCTAGTAAGTGGATTAATTAAGATTGAATGTTACTTTGTATGTTATTGTCACTATCATATTTACAGCATAAAAAGATTAAAATTAGCTCTGCTAAACGTGGTCACCATGAGAAACACAAGAAAAATTTCGCTAAAACGAAGAAGACGCTTCATAAGGAAAAACAACTGAGTAGCAATATTTTCAAAGTGAAAAATGCAATTAAAAAAGCTTCAAATGGTCCAGTCAAGAAACCGTTCGGAAACAAGCAGAATACTACATCACTCGAGCCATCCGTTGAAGATATTTCCGACATGATGGATAGCGTAAGTGAATGTTCGGAGGGCTCTAATGATTTCAATTCAAGCGAAATGAGTGAAAACCCTGTTGCCGAACAAGGTTCCGATGATTCTGCACTGGAAGATGACGAAAACGAAGACGTGAGAAATGCTACGGAAAGACTCGAAGACGAATATCAGATACAGATAAGCGGCCAGGTCAACTACGATGGCGAAACGAAGGAACTACTTCCTATCAAAACAAAAAAAGGTGGAATCGTGAGTCGCAGCGCAGAAATTAAACCTGGCCAAGTTGATATAAAAATACCGGTGGAAGAAGACGAAGTCCCAGAGTCAGAAGTGCAGATCACTCAGGCTGCACCGAAGAATGAAATCAGGACCACTGATTTGTTGTCGGAGCGGGAAGATGAAATTGAGCGTCAAAAGTTTTTGATCGGAGTTACTTGTGCTTCAATTTTGGAAAATCCAGAGACGAAAATTAAGAACCTGGCTATGCTGGTAGATCTTATACCGGAGACGTCCCAAAGTGGAAAAACAAACATGTACATTATCCGGAAGCTGGCAATGATTTCACTTGTGGAAGTTTTCAAGGACGTCGTTCCCGAGTACAGACTTGGAATAATCGACACGGCAGCACAGAAATGTAAGTAATGAACATTCTGAGGTAATCCTTTCCTTCCTTCAAGTTTATGGAATACCTTTAGACAATTGACCACTTTGTCAAGCAGTTTTTGCGTGACTTTCTACCAGCGATTTCACAAAACTGGACCAACTAATTTCTATTTTTTTGTGAAACGCACAAATGTTGGCTACTTTTCTCGAGGTTCTAGAAGAAAAAATCTTAGGCCGTTCGCAATGCTGTTGTATTTTATAAGGACTGTTTCAATTTGAAACTAGAACAGAAACGCACCTCTCGCAATGCTGAGTTGCAGTTTCATTATTCGAGCACTATTTTGCACCAGATTTGCAACTGCTCGACTATTCTGTTTTATTTCTGAGCGAGTTTGAAACACGAATGGAACTCTGTTTCAAATTTCTGTATGTATTTAAAGATGTTTCGAAGAGCTTCACAAAAAAAAAACTCTATAAACTTCATAGAGAACAGTAAAGTTTATGGAACTTGATGATTACAAACATCTTTTAGAAGTGTCCGTTGCGCTGATCGTGTTGCAGTTTTATTTTTGACAGTTTCAAATTATAGAATTGTCCAGTCGTTTAAAACAATTTTGAAACTCAGCATTGCGAACGGCCTTAAAATAATGTTTCATTTCAAAGTTCGAGTGGTAGTAAACGTCATTTTATCTGCTCGAATGAAGTGGTTAATTTCAACTGAGAAGCTTTCTTAACTATAGTCTGTACTAGAAATACTCAGAGGGAGAGATTAGCGGAGAGAATGTTTTGAGCCAAATGAACTGATGAATTCTTATTCATACTAGATTCAAATTGAGAGTAAAATTGCAATCGAATAGAAATTAAATCGCCTTTATTTTACGTGTACATCTTAATTTCAACTAGTTTTTGGAATCAAAAATAATATTCTAACTCTATTTCTTAATTCTTGAGTAACATTTGAAATGGGCCTATGTCCAAAACGTAAACAAATCGGGTTTTGATACCATTCTATAGCACCGCTTGATAGCTACTAATCGTGTAGGAAAGTTCCGCATAATCGATAAAAAATCATTAAAAATAGCTCGATTTTCAAAGCGGCCGATCAAAGATTTTTTTTATTCATTGATAAGCTTAGTGACGCAGAAAAATTGATTGATTGAACATTTTCGAACCAAAGCTAGGCCCTCCCGCATAAACGCTAACCATTACTTGACCTTACCGAAAATGGTTAAAAATGTTTATTATCCTTGCTAAACTTAAACTGAAATGGTTATGGAACTTTACATGAAGTGTGATAAAGTTTTAACCTTATATATTATGTTTTTTTGGAAGTGAACCTTACAAACAATGGGTTAAGAACAATTACCATTCAAAATTATCATGGAGAAACATTTTCGGAAATAAAACTATATTAGAACTTTAATGGTAATGGTTATGGCACGAGAAAAGGGCCTATAAATGTTGATCGATTCTCTTCATCGATTTTCTCTTTCGCGAATTACCCGACTGCAAATGAATTTCCCATTGAGTGTGTTGTTTCAGGCGCAAGCTAACAGCATCTTCTGTCGAACTGTACTGCGAGCTTAGTGAGAAATTCGTTTATGTTTCCGTGGTAAACCAAAGAGAAAGTCGAGAATCGATCAACGAGGATAGCCCCCTTTCAAATGTTACGCGAGATTTGATAATCGAGCAGAAAAGCATCAGAGCTTTTGTCGTTGCTGTCATGACAACGCAACTTTGCTTTACACGGTAATCGCAAAATACCCAATAATGACTACAAAGTAAGCATTTTCGAGGGAGACTGGGACTACCCATTCAATGAGTAAATATATTACCTATTTATGAGTATTTGTTACTCAAAAATGAATACTTACTACTTGTTTTTGTAGTTGTAATTACTCATAAATGTGTAAATTTTTACTCATTTAGTGGGTAGTCCCAGTTTCCCTCGAAAATGCTTACTTTGTAGTCATTATTGGGTATTTTGCGGTTACCGTGTATGTTCTCAGTAAAAACCAGGCCAGTGACAAGGCCTATACCAACAGCAGCGTTTGACAGTAGGCAGTATGTCCCGGGCTCAAATCGCTCACAATGAAAGTATATATTTAAAAAGTCTGGCGGATAGAATTTCGATCTATCAAAAAGCGGAACCAATTCAAAATATTGTAGACCAACAATTGAAAAGGTAACATTTTATAAACAAAACATTGATTATTCTTTCCTCGCCAATCGAACGCAAATTACCAGCATCATCGGATAGAGGAAACTTTCCCCAACCCAAAGATGGTGTTAGTTTACGTAAACGAGCCTTGAGTCTCGAGAAAAGGGGTTGCAGTTTTGTTCGCAATAGCTGATGTGCTCTTTTCTGTTGTTGGCCGTGATTTGCTCGATTGGTTCCGCTATTTGACAGCTCAATTGGTTTCCGAATATAGCGACTATAATCCGAAAGGGTTCGAAACTCAGTTCCTTGATATGCAAATTGTATGAGTTTTTGAAAAAAAGTGTCAGAACAAAAATATTTCTCCACAGCCTAAAAATCATCGAATCCATAAAAAACGGTTTCTTTTAAAAAAAAACAAAAGTATTTTAATTGCTTTTAAATAGTTGCTCGGTTAAATTAGGCCGTTCGCAATGCTGTTGTATTTTATAAGGACTGTTTCAATTTGAAACTAGAACAGAAACGCACCTCTCGCAATGCTGAGTTGCAGTTTCATTATTCGAGCACTATTTTGCACCAGATTTGCAACTGCTCGACTATTCTGTTTTATTTCTGAGCGAGTTTGAAACACGAATGGAACTCTGTTTCAAATTTCTTTGGATGTGTTGAAGATGTTTCGAAGAGCTCCACAAATAAAAAACGGAGAACTTCATAGAGAACAGTAAAGTTTATGGAACTTGATGATTACAAACATGTTTTAGAACTGTGCGTTGCGCTGATCGTGTTGCAGTTTTATTTTTGACAGTTTCAAATTATAGAATTGACGAGTAGTTTAAAACAATTTTGAAACTCAGCATTGCGAACGGCCTTAAAGTTGCTAAATTAACCACTTCATTCGAGCAGTTAAAATGACATTAACTACCACTCGAACTTTTAAATAAAACATTATTTTGAGATTTTTTCTTCTAGAACCTCGAGAAAAGTAACCAACATTTGTGTGTTTCATAAAAAAATAGAAATTAGTTGGTCCAGTTTTGTGAAATCGCTGGTAGAAAGTCAAGCCAAAACTGCTTGACAAAGTGGTCAATTAAACATATATCTACGAGAACATATGAGCACACTGAGAAGCTTACATAAGTACTGACTATTTAATGGTAGATTGACAAACATGAGATGGACCGAAAAGTTGTGGATCACTTCCCTAATAAAAAAATACCATAAACAAACGATAACAATAATTATCGAACTATTCTACAAATAGTTTGGATGATACCCCGAACACGTCGTTAAGAAAATTAACCATAACATTTTTATGTGGGCTGTGCTACCATGAGAAGGATATAATTAAGTGATGGCAGAGTTAGGTACCTATTAACAAATGAGCAATTTATGCGAAAAATTGAGCATCCTTTAGTAAATAAAACAAACAATCCAATAGTTTGATTGTATTTTTTTTTCTTCATTTGTTTCCCGTCGATCTTGTTTTCCGTACTAAGGCTGTGAATCAATTGTCGAGTTAAATTTAACTCGTGGTTAAAAGTAACATTTCGAAAGTGATTGTCCTTGTTCGAAAATCCCTGTGTTTTCGATCGACCAATTTTTGAGTAAAACTCAGCCATGGTTGTCAAAATCTAACTTATGGTCTGTCAGAAATAACCATGTTCGGATAGCAGGGTTAATCGATAACTTTCCATCTGTCAAATTTTAACCAAAAGTTAAAAGAATCCACCAAATGGTTCAGAGCCTAAGTACCAATGCTATCGACGTCAGGTAGGCAGCCCCTACACATGGACCCTACCTATCGACCAATCAACTTATGGACCGAGGACCAACGGCTTTACTTCCCTTCCAAAAGAAGGTGTGATCAGAGATTTTATGCCTCAGAAAATCTCGGCGGCGCCGATTGGGATTGAACCCAGGCCCTTTGGGGTGAGATGCAATAACGCTTACCACTACATCACTATTTGATAGTAATTGTAATAGTAATTTATTTAGTCAAACGTAATCCTGGTGAATGAACACTTTATCGCGACAGGGGAAAAAAACATTCTTTAAGAATTAACACATAGAAAATGAAGTAAGCTTACACATTTCGATTATTGAACAGTATGTAGAAAAATTAATGTCTTCTTAGAGCTGCTTAAGTTAAGTCATCAAAAGAAATTGGTTCCAGCTGATGGTCCCTGTGATGAGTATACTAATCCTCATTAAGGTAGTGTGTCGAGGAATAATGAATGAACACGCGTGCTCTTGGCTGGGTCTGGAGACGTTGTTGTAGATAGTCGAAAAGATTCACAACATATCCTTGTCGCATGAAGCAACATATCCTGTAGGTACACAGCAAAAAAAAATGTAATATCGATCAACGTAATTCAAGCTGATGTATGAAATAATGATGTAATAGCAAAAAGCAGATACAATATTACATCAATGGATGTAATTTTGTTCACAAAATCGATGTACATCGTACAATGTGATATTACACAACCGATGGATTGACCTGGTTGCAGCAGTTTCGATGTAATATTCAACAACTTTTTTTGCTGTGTATGTCGAATTGTTTGTTTTGTTTTCAGAATATAATTGGGAATTGCACCACAAAATCACATGAACCTTATGTGTCAAATTATCATATAGAACTCATGTTATCACATGAATGTTATGTGAAATCATGAATGTTATGTGAAATATCATTGTTAATGGAAAAATATTATGTGCATTCCCAATGGAAACTACATGAAAACTTTTGTCCGTGTGGGTATTGCAGTCCATCAATATTAAAAATGATCAAGCTTATCTCAAATCATTTTATCAATAGTTGGATGTAGTTAATGTAAGCCACATTTTTAATTTTTCAAATAACTTTACCTTTT